CACGTGATTCATAGTCTGATATTTGTATCTGTGAAAACAAGGTTTGTAGTTATGAAGAAAGTGCGTAATATTTTTAAAAAATTATATATTTTTAAAATTTTTTAAATTGGTGAGTTTGTTATTCACGTTGTATTTGCATATCATACTTTAGGTATCAAAATATTTTTCAGATTTATTATATACTCATAATTAATAAACCCATAATAATGAATAAGAATAATTTTAAAGAACATAAAATAATCTGTTGATGATACTTTGGTTTGGTTTCATTATTTATGTGATGAAAAGAATATGGTGGCACAATGTAAAAAATGTTAGAGAGTTATTAAAGTGAATGGAGGAAATGCGAGTGGACTCCATACACATTTAAAAATGAAACATGGTACAAATTTGTTAGAGAATGAATCTAATCATAATGAAGATACAAATTTAAGCACATTTTCTAAGCCCAAGCCATCAGGGATTTTCGATTATTTTGAAAATCTGCCAACATCGATTAACACTATAAGAAGAACTGTTATAAACCATAGTAATGGTGTTCACAGTTCTTTTTTAACATGGGGTAATACAATTAAAAGTATATGGTGAAAAATTTAGTCTTACATTTGATGAATGGACAAGTGTAAGAAATAGATGCTATTTAAATATTAATATTCATTCAGGAAAAAAAAAATTGGAATATAAGACTTACACATGCCTCGGGAAGTATGCCACCAAAAAATATGTGGAAGCGTTTAAATCTAAATTGGGGAAACATGGATTATCCCTGAAAGACGATATTGTATCCATAATGACTAATGGAGCAACAGTTGTGAAAAAAGTTGGAAAGCTGATTGGTGCAAATCAGGAATTGTGGTATCTCATGGAATTCAGTTAGGAGTAATAGATGTATTATACCAAAAAAATAAAGAACAGAAGAACCCAAAATACTGTGGATTTAGAAATTTCTAATTCAGACTTTGAAGAGAGTGATACTGACAATGAAGATAAGGACAATGTAATTGTTTAAGAAGATATTGCTAATGAGGATGAATAAAATTTGAAAAATTGTTAAGTTATTTAAACATTACCGTACAAAAAGTGCCTTATTACAAAAATATATACTAACTGAAAATGAAACAGAACATATGTTAATATTATATTATAAAACACGTTGGAACAATTTACTTCTAATGATGGAATGATTTTTGAAACTGAAAAATCCAATCCAAAAAGCAATAATCGACTTAAACCTACGAATTAATTTTTCCGATAACGAATTCGACTTAATATCCAGAACTGTATCAGTTCTACTTCCAATAAAACTGGCTGTAGAGCCGTTATGTTGGTGAGATTCTAATTTATTAACATCTAATGCAACAATAAATTTCATGTTGCAGTCACTGGAAGAACAGCACACAACACCTTAATTAATTAATCTGAAGAATTATATATTACATTGAAAAATCGTACAGACTAACCAAATCAAATTTGATCAAGTTTATAGTAAATTTTCTTAAAATCTTTTACCCACAAACCTATCCACATTCAAAAGAAATCCGTACAGTTATCGAAGATGATGATGATGACACTAATATTAATAGTGAAAAGGAATTGTCTGTTGAACAAAAATTATAATTAGTGATAACTAAAAAAATTTCAGCAAACCTAAATACAATACAGAAATCAGTTATATGCAAAACCATCCAACGAGAAATCTATTTATTTGGAGATGAGGGATTTAGAGGTAAATACTTGGGAAAAACATATCTGGCATTGCTAACAGTACCGCCAACTAGCATAGATGCTGAAAGAGCATTTTCGACAGCTGGTAATGTTTGCACAAAATTATGTTCCAGGCTTAATGGCAGTACAATTGATGCATTATGTTTTTTAAGATCACATTTCAAAAACTTGTAATAGTACCAAAGACTGAATAGTGGTATTTAAACTTTTTTGTGATTTAAATACATAAGGTGTTCCTTGTTTCTTTCTTTATTATTATTATTATTATTATTATTATGTGATTCTTTATATACTGTTATAATTTATAAGTTACTAATAAATTTTTGTGATATTTACTCTGTAATAAAACTGGCAAATAAAACAAAGAAACACCCATGTTTTCTTTCTTTTTCTAAAATTCCTACTACCAGTATTAAAACTGGTATCCCAGTATTAAGATCTAGAAAATACTGAATAGCGGTATTGAACTTTTGGTCCGAAATTGCAATCCCTAGTGCAGGCCCAGGAGCCGTCAAACTGGTGAGTAAAGATCGAAGAACAAAGTCCTTTAACACACACTTAATTTCTTTCAACAAACTTGATTATCTTCTGAACAGCTTTCAGTCCCACATGTAACTTCTCTGCTGGGAAGTTGGCATTCTGGATGTAACTCATAATTTCAGAAATAGTCTTAAAAGTTCTTGGATTTTGTGATTAAAAATCGATGTGAAAACTTCATTGAAGTTGCTGGGAGCTGGTTTCTGCTTAGTCTTAATTTTTTTAATAAAGAGTGCTTTACCTTCTTTCTAGGCTGGCTGAGTTTTGGCTTTAGAAAGTTCGGAAGCGTAATCTCGGTAGCTGGCTTTTACTGGGATTTCTGATTATTTTTCCTTTCAAATTTTGCTTTGTAGGCCTTGCACCTGCAATAGCTGCATACGTTTTCCTTGTTACAAAAAATACAGTGAGGCTTTTCATCAGGTTTCTTGGGACATGATTTTTGATAGAGGAGGGGAGGTTCTACAAAATCACTCTAATATTCTTTTCACTTTGAGGCTGGAACGTGTGAAACAGAATATTGTTTTCACTTAACAGATTTGTCATTGTCTTAAAGTCCGTAGGATTTTTAACATGCACATGAATAGTCTTATTTTTCATGCCGGATTCGTGAGTCTTGGAACAGTTCCATTGAAATGTTTATAAATTTTCAGCCAATCGACAAAGTTGCTCGTGAACACAATGAAGGGGAGGCATTTTCACTGCTGACGCTTCGCCCTCTTCACTTTCAGGATTTTTGCTTTCCAGAGTCTTGAATCGGTTATCCTGGCTGATTTACATCGGTTCCATAACTGCAGTGCTTTTAGCAGGGTTTTGCAAAAATTTCTATTCAGTATCAGCTTCCAAATCATTAGACGAGGTTTCTTCATTTTGTCGTGGCTTTTTCGGCATTCTTTTATTTTAGGTATGTTCATCCTTTGCACATTTTTCAGCTTTCGATCATTTTTAAAGACAGTTTTTGTTTGCATGAAGAGGTTAGTTTTCCCCAGAGCAGCGATGACACTATCGGCACCATGTTCACGTATCAGTCTTTCTATTTCATCCTCCATCAGTTCCTCAGCTATATCAGTTTTATCTGGTTCAGCATCAGACTTTGATTGTCCCTTCTTTTTCTTACCTTTCTTGGAGTTATTAGAGACCAGGAGATCTTGCTTTCTGTACGGGAGAGGTTGAGATGACTTTGTTGACTGAAACGATCTTTCGGAATCCTTGCTTAGCTCATCGTCACTTACATCAAAGAAACAAGGACATTTTTGTTGTTCCTTCAGGTACAGCTACAGAAGCGATAATTCAGCATGGCAAAAATAAGAGCACTAAAAAAGTACGTCCTTCTACCACAGTCACCACTCCAATGAATGATACACATAAGAATCCAATGAATGATTTTTTTATTTTTTTATTTTTTTTAACCAAAGCAGCCATATTTTTTTTTTTTTTTACATGTGAAACTTAGCAGAATTGTGAATTAATTCTTTCTGCATGTTCAGTGTCTTTTTGCTGAGTGGCACCAAAAGGAAACTTAGTTTTGTGCACCGAAAAATATGCCTTTTTGCCTGCTGGCCAAATTGCTTGTTTTTGCAACTGCACTTGTTGTTTTATTATTTTCTATATCTTTCAATTTTTAATGAAAGTATTTGGAGATTTTATGTATTTTTGCCTTGACACAAAGTGAGAACTGAATTAATTGAATGAGAAATATATCTCTAATGAAATCCGAGGAAATAAGTGCTTCATATTAGCAACAAATATTGTCGCCAGCCTGTCTTAGACAGAGGAGAATGTTTACAAGTAGCGCAATAGGTAAGTGCCACTGAATCATCTGTGAAAAACTGTTTCTTTTTATCTGCTTAATTTCTTTTGTACACCTTTTTAGATTTATTATAACATTTGAATAGAACATGTGGCTATGGTTAGGTAATTTGTCAGATGATATAATTTATAATTTTTATGCATTCTGAGTTATAAAATAAATGAGATTTAATGCTGTTAAGTGAACCTAGTGCCAGAGTGTCGCTGTAGTAAATAAATGTAGTGAATTTTAAAGAGTGCATTTATTCTGTTGTGGTTTATGTGCTATTGACGAAGTAGATTTAATTCAATTCAATTAGTTTAAATGAAATGCAGAGAAAAGTGGGTATAATTTAATATTTTGTATAAGGAAGTCGTATGGTGTACACATCAGCTTTTTTTTTTATTAGTACATCAGCTGCTATTTACATTTCTTACAGTTCCTGGCAACTGCCATTAAAAAAATAGTGAAAATAAAAGTACTTTACTTCTGTAAGTGATGATAAATTATAGTATGGAAGATCGTTTATCTCAGTTGTGTACTTATCTCAGAAATATAAATTTTCCTCCTCAGTGTTTTCATCAGTCATAGTAATAATTAGTCATGAAGCATGTGTTTTATGTTTGATCTATTTACTAAACTGTTCGTACTGGAATTTCATTTATGTGTAATTCACCAGAATGTTCACTGTTGTCATCACTAAATTTTAGTTTTACAATGCCTTTTAGAATTAACAAGTGATAGGAATATGTAAATAATTTTAAAATTCTTTTAAGCTAATTTTAATCTTTATACATTTAATATTGAATTTTAACACTGTTTTCAAAGAGTAAAATAATCTGCTACTGCAGACACATTTGGTATATTAAATATTATTTGAAGCAAAGTTTTGTAAAAAATATTTGATTAATACTTTTCTAAAGAACCTTTTTTTCTCTCCTCGTTAAAACAGCTGATGATCACCAAGCGTTAATATGGGATATCCAACAGATGCCAAGAGCTATAGAAGATCCTATTCTGGCTTATACAGCTGAAGGTGAAATTAATCAAATTCAGTGGGCAAGCACTCAGCCTGATTGGATTGCTATTTGTTACAATAATTGCTTGGAGATTTTAAGGGTATAGGAATCATTATATTAGGAAACAATTAATATTAAGAATACTGCAAAATGAATTGCAGCATTTTTAATATCCACTGCCCTGTTGATGTAGCATTACAACTTGCTAAGAACTTTTCTAGAATTAGATGTGGTTTTACAAAGAATTTACATTGCAAATTTATAACTGTAAATCCCTTGAATTATTGCAGATTTGGTTCCAGACTAAAATTAATATTGTGATGAAATGAGTCACATGTTTTTTATATTATTTTTATTTCAGTGCATGTAAAAGTTATCTTCACATTATATATATTTTTAGGCTAAATGTGCAAAAACATGCAGTTTGAAACATATGTAGTCACTAACTGAAAATTCTTTATTACTAAAAATTTCTAATCATTCTGAGTATTTTCTCAGAACAAAACTCAGTTGTTAATCAGTTCAGTATTGTTGCTAATCCAGTAGATATAATCTATATCCTGTAAAAATGAAATTCGTGTGGCAGCTGTTTAGGGATAGTTTGTGGGAATGATAAAATTGCGTAAATATTATGTGCAGTCATGTATTGATGTTGATAACTGTTGACTGATTAGAATGGCTGATTATCTATGTGCATTTTTTTTTATTGATGAAAAGGTCATCTTCCATGAACTCCAGAAGTTAATCCTCACTTATTTCGAATTTTTCTTAGACAGTTTCCTTACTTCTCTCAGCTTGCATATATTTGAAAAGAGGACTATGTTTTGGATTAGACTTTAACTGAAATGAATGACTATTTTGATTTTTCATCCAGTCACTAAAAACGTCTTGTATCAGCAGTAGGCTGTTTTACCCCCTTTTTTATTTTTACCATCTGTGCATTAACTAGATTTATTTTTCCCTTCAGAAACTCTTCTGTATTTATATCTTGGTAGACTGCTTATCTACCTGCAGAATAATGATATGATGAAGATGCTGTTTTAAATATTTCTTTCATCACAGCTTTCAGTTGTGGGATTAATTCCAATATTTTGCAAGTGACTAAAATATTTGTGTATAATATGGCAATTTTGGGAGGTTTAATCTAAAAAAGGTTTAATGTTTCGCTATGCTATTGATAATTTTGTTCAGAAACTGCAACATTTGAAGGTGCTGTTATGTCTACCAGATGATGCTAGATGGCATTATCTTCAGCACAATTTTGTGTGACCATAAAAAGTTTTTATAAGGATGAAATGCAATTATATAACAATATTGTGACTTCATTATCAGTATAAGGAAACAGATTTGAGATTTATATCCGTATGTATGACTGTCATATATATTCACAGGTGATTAGAGTGCACAGCATCTAGTTCCCAGACTGATTATATGTATTTATTTATTTAATTATTTACTTCATAAACAAGCTATTATTATTTTGAATTTCATTTCTGTATAACCGTGTTTTATAGCACTGAGAGCTTATATATATATATATAATGACTAATTAAAATGTAAAAAGGCATTAAAAACTTATCTAGTTATGCTATGATTGCAATAACTGGTGGTAATGCTGTAAAATGAAATTAAAAAAAAATTAAATCCATTATATTTTCAATCAAATCAAACAACTAAAAATAAATATAAATTATTTGGGCACACAACAAACATGTTGAAAAAATTATCATGCTTGTTTTATATGCAAACAGTTATATGCTTATTTGTAATGATTTGATCCAAGTTGAATATGCAAAATTCTTGAAAAGTAGGCAGTATTAAAATCTCAGTCACCTGAATAGGAACATGTGGATATTGTATGAAAATATTTCATGTTATTTAAGTAAATTGAAAATTATCAAATGAACAAAATGTTGCCTGCTTTTGATTTATCACCGTTTTGTTACTTAATAGCATGCTATTTTTTTAACACAGAATGGAATCATAAATGTACCTTTTAATTATTTTGCTTTTTTTAATTGCTACTTAATGGCAGTTGGATCTAATAGATTAGTACTGTAAAAGGTTCTTTTCAAACCTGTGCTGACTGAGAAAACATATTTAGTAAACTTATTTTATGTATATAGATAACTGTGTTGAAAATGTATGGCATCTTCTTTAAATCTAATTTCTTTTGAAAGTTCAAATGGCAAATATAATGCTACATCATCTGTAGGTGCATACAATGTCATCAGAATTTTGGAAGTTATCTAACTTTCTTATTTATAAGTGTGACACGTTCTGATATGGCTGTAGAGTTTTTGTAACTCTTGAACAGCAATATGAACTTAAAAATTGCTATGAAATTAAAAAAAAACTGGCATATGTGTATATCTAAGTGATTTTTTTCTGTAAAAGCATAGAAATAATTACTGAAATATGCTTAAAAAGATTTCTTAAAATCATTTCCTGTAGAAATATTTCAATGTATATTGTACATTAGGTTTTACTCATATAATTTATGAATCATTTCAAGTTTTTTCATCCTACATAGTGGAATGAATCATGCAGTAATATCACTTTTCTTTTTATCATGCATTAATTTCTCATCTCAGATAATCATTCGTGTTATATGAGCCTATCGAAAACTTGTTTCTGCTGGTATTTTAACATAAAATTTGGATGAAAATGTTTTATATGGTCTTTATTATAATTCCATCTGACATATATTTTTAATATATGTATTCGTGTTTTTAAATTATTGTAATTTGTTTGAAATTATAAAAACTAAGAGTTTACTGGGAATTAAAATTATGTAATGCATACAGAGAATATATTTTGTTGTAGATATTCATCTGTAAATAAGTGCATAATCTGTAGTTGTAGATTATTTAATACAAGTTTAAAATAATTAAATCGTTTTCATAAAATTTTGAACAATACCTCATGTATAAGATAGTATATGCTTTTCTGTATTTAGAACATAAAGTCCAAAAATATCTCTGTATATGAAATCTTGTAAATAATGTGGAATTTTTAGTTTTTTGGTGCAAGGCTTTTTTAACTTCTTAACATTTATTTTGGGAAAAACAATTCAGTCTAATAATATGGTTAGTTTAAATAATGAAGGTTGTTAAAATTTGGTTATGTCTTGCTTTGAAAATGAAAAAATATATATTTCTTACTTTAGCAATCTTAACAAATTTAAAAAAAAAAAAAAAAAAAAAAAGTTAGTTAGTCAAATTATACTTGAATATGAGTGATATGAGTTGCATTTCTTTTCAACTGTTATGAAGTAAATAAGAAGTTAAAAGCGTGTTATTGATATTGTAGTGTTGTGCAACGTGAAATGTTTATAATTTTTTTAATTTGTAAATGTGATTTAGCTTTTAAATATCCTGTACATATCACTGTAATTTTAAAACGAACATTGATTTTCCTTTTTATGAATGCTTTAGAATTAAGCTTATGATGATTTAACTTTTATGCTTAATGCTAATTTTACTGTGAATTTTCATAATAAGGAAACATTATTAAGTACAGTTCACCCATCTAGTTATTAGTAGTTATAAAACATAGATTTAATGTACAAAAAATTATATATTGCAGCCAGAATTTCTTTAAAGTTTGTATGGTGTTTCATGTTATGCAATTTATCTCTGACTATTCAGAAAAACTTTTAATGAGAAATTTGTGTTTTTGAATTTTAATGAAAAGGGGAAGGCAAAATGATTAATATAACTGAGAATATGCATATGTAATAAGTTTGAAAATTAGCTGGAATAAAAAGTAAGGTATCAAGAATTGGAAAATGTAGTAGAATATTTATTAACCCTCAAAGAAAAAATAAAATTCTTTGTAATTTAGTACAGTATTATAGTATATGCAAATCAAACTCATGAAGGGCATAAGCATTTGTTCAATTAAAATAATTTTGAAATGAAAATTTTAATCTAAACCTTTCTAAAGTTTATTATTTAATCAAATGGGGGGCACTTGCCTTTTTTTCGTCATTGGCCACTTGTAAGACCAGAAGTGACGGCGATTTTATTGTGGAGGCAACTATTAGGTGGCCATCATTACCTCCTATGAGGGGACAAACAATTTACATCCATGCCTTCTCTGGGATTTGAACCCGGGCCCTTTGGCATCGCAGTCGGCTTCACTAACCACTATACCGTCTGGGCGGCTAAACCTTTTTTAAATGGAATTAACATATAAGCATGTTTTGGGCATGATCAACTTGGTATTGAAAACTGAATTAATTTAAGTTTTAGTGAAAGTAATTATAAAATGAGGTTTTATTAGAGTCATTTTATGTTTGCAAGTGTCTATCTTTATAAATAATATGGCTTAGAGAATGTTAAAGGTAAATCATACCTTTTTACTTTCTTCTTTAGTGTAAATACTAAGTATATAAAATGTGTGTAATTTTATGCATCTTAAGATTACAAAATTTATTCTTATGAAGAGATCAAAAAAGTTATGTTGTAAATTTTATTTTTCTTTAAAAACATCTTGTGAAATTATCTTTAACATTTTTAATGTGCAGTTATCTTGCTGTAGAATAATTTTTTATTGTTGAAAAAATTCTGTATTAGAATATTACTAATTTAAGTAAAACATTTGTACAGAGCTGATGAGTTAGTTACATTTATTTTTGCAATCATTCATTCATTATTACTACAGTATTTTTTGTAATTAATGATTGATACTTCTAGTTTACATTATGTGAAATACATATGTATGTTGATACTTCTAGTTTACATTATGTGAAATACATATGTATGCTTTGAATGATCTTAATATTGTGTAAATATCCAAATTGCTGTAAAAGTTTAGCAAAATGATAAAAGTCATTAATTGTATCGTTTTTATTGTGGATTGAAAGTCTTGTCACAAAATTTTCTTTAAAAGAATGGCGTCTTTAAAATTTTTCATTCTGTTGGGAAGATAAAGCCACTCAGAATGAATTACATAAATGTATTCTTCTGAGCAAAATGTGTAGATGTATGCATGTTTGATTAAGCTGTGTACGAGTTAGTTTTTATTATTAATTAAATTTTATGCTTATTTTTTTTGGGGGGGGGCACATGCTTTTTTCTTTTCTAGTTAGAGATTAATTATAATTTTTACTGTGTGGAAATTTTTTTAATAATTTTTGTTTTCATTAAATTATGTATGCTGTAAAGTTTTCATATTTCTTCATGTTTATGATGAAAATATATTTTATATGTAATATACTTCTAGTAATGTAAACATTTTAAGTAAGAAGGTTCTCTTAAACATCATAGGGGAATATAATTGTGCTAGGTATATGAAGTGAAATTTTACTTTTTTGCTACATTCATATGAATATTTATTGTGGAAATTGTAGGCTTCAAATAAAAGACAAAATGCACATTAAAAATGAAATAATTTCTATAGTGTCTTCAGCATATTATATAAGGCTAAGTAGGTGGCATTGTGATTAATTCACATTGGTAAGTACATACATTTCCCGTAATTAACATATATTAAAAATGCACATTTTAAAGCATATCTAACATTGTAGAATTAATTAAAATAATTTGTAATTGCTCCGTAGAAAGTGAATTATGTTATGAAATAAAAATTTAAAAACAATATGTGAACTGTATTAAATAATTTAATGTTAAAATATAGTCAACGTTTCCTTCGAGATTTCATAAATCATATATAATTACTTTATAATTAATAATGTTTTACTTGCTATTAGCACAATCAATTTGTATAATTATAGTAATATGATCTGCTCTTGAGTTCAAAATATCATGCATATTGTTATGAATGGGATGTATGATACCCAGCCAAAAGTGTCTTGAAGCTTATAATGCACATATAACAAAACAAATTTTTTCCAAAAATATCTACTTGTATTATGATGCACAGAATTAAGCAACACAATATTTCAAGATACTTTTTAGTGAAAATTGACAACAAATGATTTAAGATACATTTTATTGTAAATTTTTGGAACCAAATTTTAAAATTGAATATTTATGTAAAAATATTTTAGTTAAGAATTTTTTAAAAGAAAATGAATACACTGACACATGCAAACAAAAAAAAAAAAAAAAAAAAAAAAAAAGTAAAATGATATTTCAACCTAATTTACAGTAAGAAGCAACTTGTGGAAGGAATGAAAATAGATATTTTGTATGTCAGTTGTCGTCGGAAAGCATAGTAAGGGAAATTGAACTTTATTCTTCTGAATTTAGAAATAATGAAATATCTATCGGAGGTTAAAATTTTCTTTTCCTTCAAAAATACTTGTACCTTTAAATGGAGCATTAATTCCATGTCACAAATATGGTCACACTTAAAAGTTTACAGAAAGATGCATATAATCATAAAAAAAAATTAATTTTTATTAAAGTTTTTTTTTTTTTTTTTTTTTTTTTTTTTTTTTTTTTTTGTTCATAAAAGTGACAGGCCTTTTTGCTTTGATTTTACACAAACATGCATAAACTTCTCTTTCAAGAAACAAAAAGTTCCTATTATATTTATCATAATAAATATGTCCTTAGTATTTGTCACCACAATAAAGTTCCCAGGACAGCCTTTCAATAATGCTTCCACCTTTCTCATGGATATTTGAATGAAGTAAATTTAATCAGACAATTAAGTGCCTTAATCTTTTTTGCCTGTAGGCAAAATGTAAAATATTTGTCTTTCAGATTTAAACGATGTAAAAAAGTATTGCCACGGTCTGAATTAAATTTATTTTTATCTCCCACATGCAAGTGTGTTGTCATTCGGCGAAACATAAAATACAGTCAAGTCTGAGATCTGGACGTCCAATATCTGGAATATTCTCAAATCCGGACCTCAAAATCGCCAACAACTTTTTTTAAATGCTTTATGCATGTGCATTTGATCTTTTTTCTCGTAGTTAAAATACGTGGAGAGTCCCGATTCTTAATTTCCCTTCAGAACTAAATACCTCGTTATTGAATAAATAATAATTTAGTGAAAATCTGTGTGATTAATAATTTGTCTCCGTAACTTGGCTTGGCATGCATCTCAAACCAAAACATTCTAAATAGAAATATCTTTGATTATACACCTACTATATTTTATATCCCAGTGCCAACCTGGCAAATCATTATTATATTTTGCTTTCATCATGGCATATTTATTAACACATTGACGGCTTGAGTAATGACTCATGCAGCAATGCCCAAACAATTTTTTTTATATTAGTACAAAGAAGTATGGTAACCTTTTACGTTGACATTATTACGCTTGGCAATGATTACAGATTTAAAGTTAAATGGGCTAAGAAATATTGACGAGGAAAAATTTAACAAAAATTTCTTTCCATATGCTAAAAATAGGTTTTGTTAATGATACTCATAGGCCAAAAGATTACATTTAGTGCTATTTGAATAAGGATTAACTGATTTGTTTTGCACATAAACCCAGAACCGGCGCTTGTATGGTCACACCGAGCAGCAAAATTTAGGGAAGACAAGATTTTTGGAATTTAGAGAAGCACTGAGCAACAAAATTAAAGGATAAAAATATTTTTAGAATTTAGGAAAAGCACTGGGATCCAAAATTTAAGAGCGGCAAAAACTTAGAACTTAGGGAGGCGGCAGCAGAATTTAGGTTCCGCAGAGACCATCAGGCGGTCAGATATCTAGCGTTGTCCCTCGATGTTTGTTCAGGATTCAGATATGCCTTAAGCATGAGCAAGAATTAGACGTAAGTATAATAAATAACTAAAATAATACAATCAGGCTTAATTGTCTCAGTGCGTGATAGAAGCTAAACAAAATTTAGTGGAACAACTTGCCTTTAGTCGCCAATCTCATGAGCCATGGTCAATAATGTATAGCGGGCACTAATAAGCTAGGCTGAAGTTATACTTTACCGATTCCAAGGAATTTCAGCCAATATAGCAGATTGTGCCGTTCCTTAACTTTCTGATTACATCCAGCTTAATTATTTTTTTCAGGCTGTTTTTCTTACAGCAATTTGATGAAAATTAAAGTTCCAACTCTCAATCTTGTTGAAAAGAGTTTCTAATTCTGGGGCTGCAATAGGATCGACAAAGTGAAAAACGTGTTTCGATGTCCATTAAACAACAAGTGGAATTACTGCAAAAAATTGATAAAAGTATACCTTTCAGAATTTTTTGTGGATTCCAACACCCCGCTCGCAACGAATAGCACAAAAACTATTCGTTTTGCTAAAAGTGAAAATCATGTTAAAGTGAGAATTGAATGAGTCAGACATCATCGCAGTGAGGGCGTGCCATTGACAAGTCACATGCTAATGGGGCAAGCTAAAATATTCACTAAGAACTAAACTTAAAAACAGAGTGCACATATTCAACAGGTTGGTTAACCAAATTTAAAAATTGCCATGGTATGAGGCAATTAAGAATTGGATGGTAAAAAATCTTCAGCTAATACTGAAGTTGCCGAACTATTTGCAGATGAATTCATTGAACTCGTTAATAGTTAAAAGTTATCTCTAGAACAAATTTACAACGCTGATGAAACTGGTGATTTCTGGCAATGTGCACCGCAAAATACCTTGGCAACTTTTATAGAAAAGGCTCCAACTCGTGTCAAAGATTCGAAAGTGAGACTAACTGTTTTAGCATGCGCAAATGCGGTAGAAACGCACAAGTGTAAACTTTTCGTAATCTGAAAAGACACCACCTCGAGCATTTAAAGTAGAAAGTTTCTTGTTATATATCGCGCAAATAAAAAAACATGGATGATATGAGTGTTAATGAATGAATGGTCTGAAAATCATTTCATACACGAGGCTTAGCAGAATTCGGTTGGTTTACCTGATCACACAAAAATTATCCTGATTGTAGACAATTGTTTGGCTCATACTTGAAGTTTTAGTGAAAAGATAATAAATCTGTATTATTCTTTCCTCCAAATTGTATGTCAATCATTCAGCCAGTAGATATCGGAATAGTGCACGCGCTGAAATGCAAATATGAAGTATAGAATTTTTAAAATGCATGTTAAATTTCTTTAATGGCTAGACTAATCAAGAATTTTTGAAATAGTTTAGCATAAAATCTGCTTTGTGGAGCATCGCAAGATCGTCGGAGGATGTGTACTCTAGATAAAAAATGCTTGGCATAACTTATGGCCTTAAAAAATGCTCGGCATATTTCATGGTGAGGTTGATGAATATGATAGCCGCGGATGTGAAGGTTTTCAGATATCACAAACCAAAGTTAAATTTTCCAATTAATGGATTTTTTTAAAGAAATGTAGAGAAGCGGTAATAAATGAAGATGATATAACAGAAGATTTTCATTGCGATGACAATGCCCCAATTATCAATCAATTAACGGACGGCGAAATCTGTAATATGGTTCTACGTAGATCCAATAAATACCGGCACCGATAGTCAAGAAAGTAAGAGGTTATTGAAAACGAAAAAATTTCGATTCACAAGTTAGTCGGAATTCTTGACAGAGCAATTACAGGATTTGAACAATGAAACTTTGTAACTGAATAAAAAATTATGCCTGTCTTCAGAATTAAAGAGAAAACATTAACACAAAAATCAGCAACTTACATTGAAAGAAATGTTTAATAAAGTAAACAAATACTAAGCCTTTTTTTAGTCCAAAGGAGCTTTGTCTCTGAAGGACTACTGTTTTCGTTTTGCGTTTGTTTCGTTTGTATGGAATCACTATAAACGACGTATCACTTTTCAGGTTGTTGCCACCAAATGTTAGAGTCCTGCATTATATTTGAAGGAATTAAATAATGAAGAATCTGTATAAATGAATGTATGTTTCTCGCATTGTGATAAAACAACAGTACCTAGAGCCATCCAATTTTGAATGACGTAAACCTTCTGCGAATATGGGCATCTGAAAGCCCAAATTTGAAGTTTGGAATTTGTTTTATTATCGATTTCATGTTTTGTAAAACTTTAATGAATTTTTGGATTAACAAACTTAACGATTTAAAAGCGAGCAATGGCAACACTCTACGGGGGAAAAGAAACCTTTTTATTTCTAGCACGCGGAACTGTGTATCGGAAATTCTAAAGATATGCTCATTTTAAAATTATTTTGCGACATTGATGTTGAACTGAATTTAATGGTTTAAGTGCAAAGAACATGATATTTAATAAATAAAGTTAACACACAAAACGTTAAAAAAAACGCACCTTTGGACGTAATTTAAAGTATGAAACCTTTCAGATTTTTTTGTCCGTAAATTTTGTTACTCTTTAGATCATAAATACTTCATTATTTCATAAATCACGATCTCATACTTTTAATTTTAAAATTTTTACATGCCATCGTACAAGTTTTAAGGCCCGTCCACACGAGGACGCTCCCGACGTAGTTGACGTAACTTTTTTGACGCCGGCGTAAATTCGTAGGACGCAGAAGACGTAAAACTGAGTACGCTCCTGTTCAGCTTTTTCGCCCGCGACGCGCGCGTATAGCCAATAGCAGACCGAGTTCTTATCACGTGTCATAATCAGAAAACCTTCTTGCTTACCCGTTTCAATATGGCGTCAGAGCCACACAGAGATGAGTTTTTGCTTAGAAATATAACTGTATACAACAATAAAATAATCAGCATTGTTCACGCCACCTTCAG